CCCATGTCCCCCTGGAACCGTCAGTCCATTGTTTTCTCCTCCAGATTGTTTATCCTGGAAGGAAAGATTCTTAATATAAAACTTTTAATATCGATGTAAGCAGAAAAATCTTAAAGATCTAGAAAGCAGAATTATTTAGGACAAAGTTCTGTTTGTTTTGGTTTTTCAAAGAGTTTTTGGCTTCTGTTTTTCCATATGACACCTGTTATATAAATATTACCCACTATGATATCTGATATTTATATAACTATCGTATATACTCAAGTATAAATCGACCCAAATATCAGCCAAGGCACCTAATTTTACCACAGAAACTGCATTGAAATCGTGTTGAAAAATTTGCCGTATACACGAGTGTATATGGTAATTTGTGTAATATTCACTAAATAAAAAAGAACTTACAGTTGTACTCAGCACATTTACTTTGGTGCTATTTAATTTGCTGGTTAACTCTTCTTTTCATTATTAACAAGCTTATTTTTATGTGTGCTGTAGGGTAAAAGTGCTAGATTTGGGGGCTGCGGAGGATGAAGCAGAGAAACATTTAAAATTTTATTTTGTCATTATATTGATTATAACAAAGTGATCAATTAGGCCACTAACTTAATGAAACAGAAACAATGAAACAATCTTCCTTTTGAATTTAAAAGCCTGTTTTGGCTTGAAATTTAAAACATAAACTATATATCCTAAAAAGCTAATCCTTTGTTTCAAGATTTGATGCTTTTGTTTTTATATCGCAGCTGCTTTCCTACAGTAGTTCTAAGCCCACGGGAGGAAAAGAAGTTCCCAGTCTTTCCAGTGGAAGGGTTCCCGCAGTTAGGCTCACTGGACATATTTATACCCAACGTCTAACGCAGCTGCCAAGAACAAAGCTTACGGCTGACGCTCTAGAGCAGTGGTTCTCAACCTTCCTACTGCTGTGACCCTTTAATACATTTCCTCATGTTGGGTTGACCCCCAACCACAAAATTATTTTCAGTGCTACTTCATAACTGTAATTTTGCTGTTATGACTCATAACGTAAATATCTGATATGCAGGATGTATTGTCAATGTTACAAAATGAACTTAATTAAAGCATAGTGATTAATCACAAAAACAATGTGTAATTCTATATTATGAAATATTTATTTCTAATTACAAATAATTTTGTCTTGAAGCATGGTGTAGCATGGCTAACAGTCTTAATATGACAACAGTAAACTACACTGCTACATTTCGTGACAGTCTGCATAAAAAGCCAACATCAGTGGGAAGATTGAGACAGCTTCTTTCTCACCAGACCAGCATATCCGCATGTGGTCGGACTTGCCTGGAGATGGATAGAGGAGCGGTGTCTCGGTTCCTAAGACCATCAGAAATATGTGTTTTCCGATGGTCTTAGGCGACCCCTGTGAAAGGGTCATTCGACCCCCAAAGGGGTTGCAACCCCCAGGTTGAATCACTGCTCTAAAGGATTTGAAAGAATGACCAATGTCTTTTTCAGTTTTGAAAAGCTGGTCACCTTGGATAAGGCACATTTTCAGTAGCACAGCTATTTAGGCTAACAAATGAAATGCAATACCTTTGTGACCGCCGTGGCAGGCCCAGTATAAGGCAGTGCTCCCAGCTTTGTCTAAGCCATTAACACCAACACGGTTGTCCAAGCACTCTCTCAACCAGCTCAGGTTGCCTGGAAAAAATTTTACATTTGTGAAAACACAAGAAGGTATTTTTTTTTTGCTATTCTTTTAAAGCCATTTCATCCTGCACAAAACTCCATTTCCAATGGATTAATCAGCAAGTTTTAAATAAAATTGCATTCATTATGGTACATTCTGATTTACAGTTTATTAATGAAAACCATTAACATCAATTTCTAATGGGAGGTTAATGGGATGAATTACCAAAATGGGTCTCCTTAAAGCATTTTTGCCCTTTTGTTTTTTAATGTTTTTTTTTTGAGGGGGGGTGGCAGTAAATTCTAGAACTTAGTGAAAAAATTAAAACTTAAAAAAAGGTCGGGGGGCGGGGGGGAGGCAAAAAAAACTAAGTCGGCACTACTCATTCATATTTAAGTGCACTTCAGTTTTAACAAGAAAAGACATACTAAATAACCCAATCAAAGCTGCTGCTCTCAAAAGTCAATCATTAAATGATCAGTTGAGTAGTTTTATGTACGCCACCATCTAAAGCAGTGATTCCATTTGCATATTCATATTTCAGAAAGATCTAATATGAACTGAAATCAAGCTCACTGAGACCTTACAACCTCCCGTATTTTACTGCACGGTTTCTCGATAGTCTTATTAGCATTTGGAAGTCAGATATTCTGGATCGGTGAGGGCGATTCAGAAGATGGTCTCTTCTCAGAAGATGTCTGTCTGTGGCATCCCTACCGCACCCCACCAGTCAAAGTCTCCACACAGTGCCACATACCCCCAGGGCTTCGGGGGAGGGGTACTACAATCACCTCCAAGTAAGAACCATTGATCTTGGATCTATAGGGTAATTTCCAAAGTACAAGCCCATTCATTACTTATTTAACCACTGCAGCAGTTTGAAATCACCAGGCCCTCATGGGAAGATGAGGCTTTCTGCTCCCATATGACGTTCTAAAATAAAATGATAATGACGTCTCTAAACGGAAGCCAGGGACTTATAGAAACAGTAGTTAAATGAGGGGTTTTGAGCTCTCACTTGATGGTAGCCCTAATATAAGAAGATTAGTTCTCATGCCTTGGCCCTGCCTGGTACTCACCCTCATGAGGAGATCATTGAAAACATGAGTGGTGAGGAAATCAGATGGTGCCCACAAACATGAACAATAGTACCTAGAGTCTTAAAGGCTCATCTTAAAACTAGCAGCCATCTAAGTGAGGAATCAGCCGACTAAATCCACATGGAAGAAGAGCGCCAGCCTGTGTGATGCAACAAGGATTGCAAACTTGGAGGAGGGAATGGGACCAGCATCTAATTGTAAACACCCAGTTTGCAGAAAGCTGTGGATGACAGCAGTAGCCTTAACCCCACTTACAGGCCCCTGGGTGACGTGAGTCACAGTAAAGCCCCCGTGCACACAGGCGAAGAATGTTAACAGCTCTAATACCAGACAAAAGGCATCCTAAAGGGGATTTCAGCAGCTGGACTTAAGCAGGAATCTAACATCGTATAATTTGATCTCCCTCCAGACTCAATGTGAATGTATTCTAAATCTTAATATTCTCTGCTTTCTCTTTCAGAAAGAAAGAAGTTAGCGCCTTAGACACACACACGGGCAGTTCTGCTCTGTCCTCGAGGGTCACTGAGTCGGAATCCACTCAATGACAGGGAGACTCCTCCCTGTCCATCACTGCAGCCCCAAGCCTTCTCTTCCCCATATACACGCTTACACAACACCAACAACCGCCGAAATCTCATGCCCCAGGAAGCTAGCACCTGGCTGTACTCCATTTAAATACTCTGGCCTGCAGACCCTGTTTAACTTAAAATTCACTGCACTGCATCAATTCCTACTCGAAGAAACCCTGTAGTGCGGCATAGAATTGCCCTTGTGGGCTTCTGAGACTGTAAACGTTTACAGTCATAGAAAGCCTCGTCTTTCTCCCATGAGGTGGCTAATGGTTTCAAACTGCTGACCTTGCAGCTGGCAGCCCAACTTATCACACTACCTCGCAATGAGCTGTATATATGCCTCTCTCCCCAGATAGACTGTAAGCTCGAAGAGTTTACGATCCATGGCTGTCCAGATGCCTCTCTGCACCACAGACGGCCCTCAGTACTCAAAAGTATTCGCCAGCAGACAATGAAATCCCACGTACAATGGTGACAAAAGCCACAACAAGAAAGCTGGCTCAATAGAGGAGGGGCACGAGGGAACTCGAGAACGGCACCAATGTTCTAGATCTTGGTGCCAGCATTGGTTACACGGGTGTGCACATTCCTCGAAACGGGTCAAGCTATGTACTCAAAAAGTGGTGCGGTTCAAAGTTACACCTACCTCTTTTGGCAGCTTCGTGCAGCGGGTTGTCAATGGATTCTGCCTGCTCAGCCACTAGATTGAAAAGAGAAGGTGCACAGCTGGGGCTGAGAGTGCCAGGAGGGGTTTCACTGAGACTACTCACTTTCCAGGGCTGGACGGAATCGGCAGCACAGAACGCTCCCGTACAATAGAAGCATTAACAAATAGCAGAAAATCAAACTGACGACTCCTGCTGTAAAAGAAACTGAAATGTGTGGGGTATGATGCAAGCCAAGCAAGGAGGCAAGAACACATCCCTTCAGTGGGAGATAAACAAAAACAGCCAATTCATGACTGCCACAAAGTGCTCAAAGAACAAATCAACTTAGACACAAACATAAGAGAAAGTATTTGAAACGCACACGACTATTTTTTTGGAGGCCCGGGTAAATTTTTATTGGTAAAAGCTACTATAGCACACAAGAGATTCATTGTCAGAGAAAGAGGGCAACTTTAATTATAGATTTTAGTGAATTGCACTTAAAACCTCGTAAGGAGATCAATACAGTACCATTTGTAATTGTTTAAAAGTAGCAGTTTAGGCGGTTGGTTTAGAAAACTAATTATTTCAAACACCTATTAAATACATCAAATAAGTTTAGACCTTGAAAACACACTACCTTTATGAAATCTTTGCCTTTGTGTATACAGGAGGGACAGAGGGGGGCAGTACCCATACCCCAAAACCAAACTCACTGCCATTGGGTCAATTTCAACTCACATCAACCCTATAGGACAGGGTAGAACTGCTCCTGTGGGTTTTCAATACTGTGGTTTTTCCTGTTGGTGGTTTTGAACCACTGATCTTGTGAGTAGCAGCCCAATGAGTAACTATAATGCCACCAAGGAACCTTTGCAGGGGAGACAGAGGGAAGAATTTGCTTCCTGTATTCAGAAAGGACAACCAACATCCTCCGAGGGAGGTGCATTCACTGTTGTCTAAAAGACTGTTCTGCAAATGCTACTTCTAGGCACACCCTCCCCAGGAAAGGGCCATTCGGGAGACAATTTCATGGATACAGGGAAGACCTTAGTGTTTCACGAAGCCTTGCTGGGGCACTGGTTAAAGTGCTGAGCTTCGAATCAAAAGGTTAGCAACCTGAACCCACAGGGCTGAGAGAGAGATGTGGCAGTCTGCTGTCATCAAGATTTTACATCCTTGGAAACCCGATAGGCCAGTTTCATTCAGTATCAAGTAGCTGGCAATGAGCTTGGGTTTGGGGTTTGCATGCTGGTTCGGTGGGAGAATTTTACCTTCCATGCAGGAGACACCTTGTTCCTCCTTGAAGTAGTAACCCTCAGACTCAGTCCCCCAGGCTGTCTGCAAGGTCTGCATGTAACTACCCTATTGAACAGGTTTCGGTGGCACGTCTACACTGAGGAGGGCCGGGACAAAAAGCCTGACAATCTCCGGCCACCTGTCAGTCAGTGCAAACCCTGTTGACTCACCATGACCTGACACACAGCAAAGCACAGGTCTCCATGTCCGGTGCCCATGATGAAGGTTGGAAGTGGAGAGAGCCTGGTTCAGCAATATTGGGGATTTCAAAGACTTAGAAAGATTTCAAGTCATCTTGAACAGTGGTGCTCTTAGCCCAAGGCAGAGGAGCCCCCTGTGAGCTGAAGTATTTTCTAAATCCCCCTCCACTGTGAAAGTCATCTAATGCTACATGCCAAAGGAATCTTAGAAATGATGTCCATCCAGGCCACTCAATCACGGAGATAGAAAACTGAGTCCCTGACGCAGCAGTCACCCATCGTGACCAGAGCCCCCATGCTTCACCATGGCAGAAAGAGCATGAAGACTCAGGCCCCTGGTGCAGCAGGCTGGTGCGCTTTCACTGTTTTTTTTAATCATTTTATTGGGGGCTCGTTCAACTCATCACAATCCATACATACAACCTTGTGTCAAGCACATTTGTACATTTGTTGCCCTCATCATTCCCCAAATATTTTCTTTCTACTTGAGCCCTTGGAATTAGCTCATTTCCCCCCTCCCTTTCCTCTTCCCCCTCCCTAACGAACCCTTGATAATTTATAAATTATTATTATTTTGTCATATCTTACACTGTCCAATGTCTCCCTTCACCCACTTTTATGTTGTCCATCCCCCAGGAAGGAGGTTTTATGTAGATCCTTGTTATCGGTTCCCCCTTTCTACCCTACCTTTCCTCTACCCTCCCGGTATCGCCACTCTCACCACTGGTCCTGAAAGGGATCATCTGTCTTGGATTCCCTGTTTTAACAGTTCCTGTCTGTACCAGTGTACATCCTCTGGTCTAGCTGGATTTGTAAGGTAGAGTTGGGATCATGACAGTGGCTGGAGAGGGTAGGGGTAAGCGAGGAAGCACTTAAGAACTAGAGGAAAGTTGTATGTTTCATCATTGCTACACTGCACCCTGACTGGCTTGTCTCCTCCCCGCTACCCTTCTGTAAGGGGATGTCCACTTGCCTACAGATGGGTTTTGGGTCCCCACTCTGCACTCCCCCTCACTCACAATGATATGATTTTTTTGTTCTTTGATGCCTGATACATGATCCCTTCGACACCTTGTGATCGCACAGGCTGGTGTGCTTCTTCCTTGTGGGCTTTGTTGCTTCTGAGCTAGATGGCGGCTTGTTTACCTTCAAGTCTTTAAGACCCCAGATGCTATATCTTTTGATAGCCGGGCACCATCAGCTTTCTTCACCACATTTGCTCTTTCACTTTATTCTGCTTTATGCTATTTTAGTCAGCATAGTGCTTTTGTCTGTTTTGTCTTCCAACTAGAAGCAGCTTCAGGGCAGAAGCCGAGCTCCTTAGAACGCCAAGATAAGCATTTAATGAACATGAGTGTCCCAACATGAACTCACGAAGCAGAGGTCCCTCGTCACAAAAGAAAGGTCTAAAGAAGCAGTCTGAGATTCTGTTTAACAGCAAAAACAATTAGGTCTAAGAGGAATAAAGTTAAAATTATAAACATTTCCTTGGAAACTTTGGGTTCGAAATAGCTACATTTTTTAGACTGTGACTTCCATAAGCCAGCCGGCCAAGGAAACTGGTATCCATGGCTGATTTATTGATAAGATACTCATGAAAGGGGAAATGTCCTAGACCAGTGGTTCTCAACCTGTGGGTCATGACCCCTTTGGGGGTCGTACGTCCCTTTCACAGGAGTCGCTCGATTCTTAACAGTAGCAAAAGTACAGTGATGAAGTAGCAACAAAAATAATCTTATGGTTGGGGTCACCACAACATAAGGAACTGTATTAAAGGGTTGAGGTACTAGGAAGGCTGAGAACCGCTGCTCTAGACTGTAAGCCTCTACTGATTTCTCGGCCACAGCAGCAAGCAGAAGCATCCCGGGAAGCAGACAGACAGAAGCACATGACAGTTGGCCAATGTAAGGCCAGTATTGCAATGTTACCATAGTTGCTCGGAATTAGCCCAGTTCTGCCTTTGCAGGTGCCTTTCCACCAATTGGTATCACTCTAGTGGAAAAAATAAAGAGTTAAATTAATTGGTATTATATCCACTTTACATTCAAATTACCTTAAAATTATTTGGCTCGGAGTGTACCTGATTCTACATAATGTGCATTAGCCATGCATGCACTTATTAAACGCCACTCCTCAGTTGACCAATCCCTTTATCACTAAAGGACAAATACACACTCATTACCTTGCAACAAGTCCAATGCACTTCCTCATAGGACCTCAACAAGGAAAGAATCAAACAGGTAAGATGAAGAACAAACTTGCATAGAGTTTAGCCTAGCTACAGGTTATTATTATTATTTCTCTCAGAGTCTAACTTCTCTTACCTCCTACATGCTTTCTCCAAGGGGGGGGGTATCTTCATTCCACCCTTATTTGGAGGGGAATGATAATTATTTTAAAAACTGTAATAAAATAATTTTAAAATATTTGCCATTTTAACAATTGTACAGGTCCGATTCAGTGACGTTAATAGCACTCAGGGTGTTGTGAACCCTTCATCACTATCCATTTCCAAATGGTTTCATCACCCTAAACAGAAGCCCAGTTAGCTCTTACGCAGCACTTCCCCATTCCTCTCTCCTTCCAATCTTGCTGGTAATCACTAATAAACATCTGCCTATATGTATTTGCCTATAACATATATGAGAGGGGTACCCCAAAAAGACTGGTGCTCATTTGTGTGTTTTTTTGAGGGGAGGCCAAAAGTGCTTTTGGAGTTCCTTCCACCAGGTCAGAACGTTAATCAAGCTTTCCATTTAGAAGTTCTGAAAAGATGTGTAACAGTGTGCGACAAAAAAGGCTGATTGTGGCAGATGAGAGGCTGGTTTTCCTGCCCTGACAATGTACCTGCTTACGCAGCCATCTCAGTGCGCCAGGTTTTGGCAAAAATCAGCATGCCTCCCTGGCCCCACACACCTTTCACCTGAACTCGCTCCAGACAACTTCTTTTTGTTTCCTCAAATGAAGAGGGACATGGAAGGACAGCGATTTGAAGACGTAGAAGAGGTAAAGAACAAAACGAGGGCAGTGCTGTCAGGCGCCCAAGCAGATGAGTTTGAAAAATGTTTCCAAGAATAGAATCGCAGATTTGACAAGTGTATTAAGTGTAATGGGGAATATGTCGATAAGGTTGTTTTGTGAAAAAGTGTAAAAACATAGCTTTGTGGAGGAAAAATTCGATTTGGGGGGATACCCCTTCATATTTCATCTGTATATACTCAAGTATAAGCCGAGTTTTTCAGCACATTATGTAGTTTCTGTGGTAAAATTAGGTGCCTCAGTGGATATTCGGGTCGGCTTATACTTGAATTTATTCGGTAAGTGAGATCACACGTTATTCATCCTTCTGCCTCTACTTATTTTACTCAGCATAACATCTTAAGGTGTAGCCATGTCATCATAGCATGCGTTCGAACTTCCTTTCTCTTTGGGATTAATATTTCATTCTGTGGATACACTACATTGTATGTATCCTTGCATCTGTTGATGAAAACTTGGGTTGTTGCCACCATTAGGCCATTTTGAATAAGGAAGCAATGAATAGTAGTGAACTTTGGGAGGGGGTGATAATCTTTTATAATAGAAAAATTCAAACCTATATAAAAACTTTAAAAAAACATATACTGTAATGCACAAATCATATATCCATTTCCAACTGCATAAATTATTTACATATTACCATGTCCCACTCACAACTTCCCTCCCCTCCTGTTTTTAAAATAAATTCTAAACATTACATCATTTCATCTGAAAATATAGTCACGAGCCTCATAAAATACATTCAGGCAACATCTACTCACGTACACATTCACGGTTCCAACCCCAGTAAATCTTTAAAAAAATAACAAAAACCCAAAACCACACTCGCTGCCTAAGCCGGTCTGACCCCTAGAGGCTCCAAGCTCAGCCGTCTCCGGTGGAGATGCTGCTGCTTTCGAACTGCTGACCATGTGTCTCTCATCCCAGTGAATAACCATTGCACTACCAAGGCTCTTTCAGTAAAGCCTGCTGTATTAAAAATTAGACGTACATGGGGAAGGACTGGGGAAAAATGAGGAGCTGATGCCAAAGGCTTAAGAGGAGAGTAAATGTTTTGAGAATGATGAGGGCAAGGAATGTACAAATGTGCTTTACACAATGGATGGATGTATGGATTGTGATGAGTTGTATGAGCCCCCAATAAAATGCTTAAAAAAATTAGATGTACATACAATAGTTCGCAATAACTGGCACAGGCACCAAAACACTATCATTGCTACTGTGCTATTATGTTAAAGTTATTTTGGTGTAGCTTGAAGTTTTTAAAAATGTTTTTTGCACAGAAAAGTACACTACGTAATATATACTAAGATAAATATTTGATGTTAGATTGATGTTAGATACAAACCATATCTTACCCTTCGCACTAACACCCAAATTCGACTTAAAGACCACCCAAATTCGACTTAAAGACAGGCTTTAGGAACAGAACTTGTTCATGAACCCAAGACTGTGTGTATATTATTTGGTGTTCACACAATGTCCAGATCATATAACGTCCTGTTTCACAGAGCCTATCACAGGCTTTCAGTGATTTATGATTGTATTTCGTATATCATTCCTTAAATTTTTTTACAACAATTCCCAATATCATTGCTATCTAGATCACAACAACATTTCTAAAGCAGCCCATAATTGGGGACCAAAATACATTGTGCTTGATTGATTGGTTTGCCTCTTAAGTCACTTTTAATGTCTAGGTGTCCTCTCCACCTCTTGCAATATTTCTGTTGAAGAAATCAGTTAGCTTGTGCTATAAAGTGTCCAAGAATCTGGATCTTGCCATCTTGTGCTTGTGTAGTCATTTAACAAGTTCTT